GATAATTATAATTATAAAGTGAACAGTAAATCATTTATTTTCCTGTGTTATAATTGTAATAATTAATTCAATATAATTTAACATTAAATATTTAAATGAATATAATATGAATCATATATAGTGAATTGTTGATGATTAAAATTAAACAATTTATAAAATAAAAATAAAAATCCTTTTTGTACATGGGTATTAGGTACTTTGAGTACAATAATTGAACAATTAGTATAATAATATGTGCTATAGGTACCTACACATTTACTACATTATAGGTATTTAATAATAAATTGTTAATTATTGTGATTAGTCAAATAACTTATTTTGTACTTAAATACTTAATAAGAGTACTTAAAATATACTTAATACAAATGATAAATATTCGTAGAAAGTAACTACACTTTGAATTTGTACTTAAAAACAAATGCTCGCAGTCACAATTATAATTAGGTGTTAAAAAAAAAAATTGCACATCTAAAAAGCCGTTGTTATAATTCTGCATATTATCATATTATAATATATCAACTATTCTACTCATATTATACGTCCTTTAGTTTGCGTATTACACAAATTTAGATAAGTACATGTAACTATAGAATTATCAAACTCTTCCCAAAATATTACATCCTATGTGAATGGATTTCAAACACTTGTTGTTAGTGACAAAGACTTTGGATTTTTAATTTTATTTTCCAAAATTTAATTTTTTTTCCAGTATTAGATAGGTATATAATTTATTGTGTAGTCTTGTAATTTATCAGTTAACTTGAATTGTTACGATTCGAGGGTTACGGTATTGAATAATAGGGTGAAAATAATAGTTGCGTCCCGCGGTAAAAATTTCAATCAAATTGTGGCCCAAGTTTTTTTGGAGTAAGTTTCTACGAATTGTAGCTGAGGTTTTTTGAAATTTAATAATTATAATAATAATAATAATAGTTATAACCAAATTAAGACCAATTTAGACCCAAATATAGCCTTAGAGCTTTTTACTGTTAAGATTGTAAAATTAATTAACTTTAGTTTTATCACTTATCATAGTTATAAAATAAGTAATTAACTTTTGCAAACCTAAAACCATAATTTAGTAGGAATGTAAGATTAATTATTTAAATCAGATTTAGAAAAAACTTTAACATTAAAAAAATGAAACCTTTTAGTATGGATACCTTGTATTAGAATAAATTATGTATTTTTATGTATAAGGAATTAATTAAGTAAGAAACTCATGCTAATAGATATAAGAGTTCAAGTGGGATTTTAATCCTTAAAGTGAGATACCAATTTAATAAGTTTTATCCATTTGCTTTTTTTTTTAAAAATTTGTGTCTGATTAAAAATGTATTTATCTGTTTTTGGTAATACCTAACTAGTAATTAATTAAACTACATTGATAATGTAAAATTTAAAGAATGTTTTATGTAATAGTATTTTATTTCGGCATATTTGATTTATAAATTAATTGAAAAATATTGTTAATTTAGTTTTGTTGTATATTTAAGTATAATTATTTTTAGTTTATTATTTTGTCTTAAATCTTATTCACACCAAATCTATAGGCTTTAGTTGGGTAGACAAACCTTGCAATATTGCATTAATTTCAATTGTATCAAACGTTTTGTGATTGGTGAATAAATATTATTATTATCACATATTGTTATTATTAATTATACTTTTAAAATGTATCTATTTTTTTAACATTCAACCAGTAGGGTTCAGGGTTGGGATATTAAAGTACTCAAACCTGCATAAAATGTATGCGCTATACCTAATATACGCTATACTATTACCTTAAGTATCACTAAATATGCCCTAAAAATATCTTCGATAAAACAGAAAAATATACAAAAATTAACAAAGTCATGTACAAATTACTCATCTTTAATAACCATAACACATTCAATTATAACTAGTATATTACAACTGTACAAGTACTCGAGTTAATACAGTATACACCGCTTTCAACACTCGTAGTCCTATCATCACAGCTTTAAACCTTGATAAGATCAGTAGATTGATACAATAAAAAAAAAATTAAAAATTAGAACTATTAAAATAATACGAAATTATAAACACCGCTGCTTGCGTTGCTTTGGCATTATATCTATTATCTATATTTACTTAATCTATATACACCTAAAATTAAACTACCTAAACCTAATAAAAAATACGACTATTTAAATTAATATGACCTATTTTGATTAAAAAACTGGTCGAAATCTGAAGATATCTAAATAAAAAAAGTATAGAAAAAGCACTAAAATCTAAAAAAATCGTAAGATATTATTCAAAAGTATGCAAAGTTAAATTTTTAATTTCAGTTCTCTGAATCATGATAAAATTTAAGCTAACTGCGTTTTCTTAAACATTTTATAATAAATATGCAAATCCTATAATATCCCAACCATAATAATCAGTAAATAGTTCTACTTTTTCATTTCTTGGTTAAAGTCATTTGTGAAATAGTCACTATCATCGTTAGTTAACTACCTATTAAAAATAGTGAGCCAAACAAATACTTTAAATAATTATAACCTATATTATGATTGCTGACTGTCGTTATGATCGAACGGGGAACGATAATATTATAATATTATATAAGGACGACAGAAATGGTAGATATATAATCGGGCAGCAACTAGACTATAACGCAAAAAAATTCTGCTCCCAATGCGGATTAGAACTTGTTTCATAGGTTATAGGTAGGTGGATAGTTGGGACCTTCCGGCTTTAGGGGACGCAACTAATATAATGTGATCAAAAACAAAATTGAACAATAAAGGTCATCAATTTGTTTATCATAAAAACGAATATGGTTTACTTATAGTGAATAGTGATATAGATAATAGACTACTTATTATTGAAATTTATAATCATTTAGCATTTATGGAACACATTACTCGGTTTTAATATCGATTTTGTTATAAAATTATGGTTTTATAGTTTTAAATTTCACTATTTATTTATTTTAGTTTTAAATCGTCATAGTTAAGTTGTACGTGTGTTGTATTTTATAAAAGTATAAAAGAAATTATTGGCTCTTAATAATTAAAAACCCAGACCATAAAAAATTATTGTGCATCATTATTCATTAAGCTTGGTAAAACGTTGAAACACGAGACTTTTTAGATAAATAATGTCATTTTTTTTATACACCTTCGGAGGTAGATTTAGTTGAATATTATAATGGTAAGTAAATGGTAAGTACACACAACACATACAGTTAAACCTATTATCGTTAACCAGCTACCTATAACTTTAAATTTAGACTGAACAATTGTTTAAGCTCAATTATATCATATATTATGGATATTAAAATAATAACACCAATTAACAAAATAGGTATAACGAAAATTGGTACCTCTACCTATAACAAATTAAAATAATAAATACAAATTACTACGTTAAATTATACTACTTAATACGAATGGGATATAAATAATATCATAATATTATGTTAATAGAAGTTCGTAAATGACAAAATTCGAACTACCTAACACAATTATAATATTAAGTTAATATAATAATTGTGTTAGGTTATTTAAAATTAATTAATATTATTAACATATATTTAAACAAACATTAATTGTATGAATAATAATTTTTAAAAGCACACGGGTTGAAGACGTAGTTTCGTCTTCTAGAAATAAAGATACAATACTATTTACCTACTTATAATTTTAATTTACTTAATTGAGTATTTATTTATCATGCAGGTGAGACCCCGAACTGGCAGTTATATATATCAAATGGGGGTGAGGCCACTCCGTCTTTAAGCCATTTATATATTTATAAAGCCCCCAAAAATATATATCTGTCGTGTTTTTTAACATGATATTGTTAATTTTTTATTTGTTAATTAATCATTTAAAAATCAATAATAATTGTTTACGAATTTTTGCAGATATGCTTGAAGCCTGTACGTCTACGTATACACTAATAAATTGATAAATATAAGGTATTATATTATTATCTACCACTATTATAGATTTAACTAAAACTAAATATTTATATCTTGTTTATATAAATTGTTCATGTTTAACTATACTTTAACTAGTCTTTATGGTAATAAGTAATTAAACTGAAAAACTAACTTAAGAATATTATAATAATAATTAATAACTTTTAGCTAATAAGCATTAGCCCCACTTTAAATATGGAATTTCGCTAACTACAGACAATGAAATGAAATACTATATGCTAATACGCGATTGGTTGAATTCCAAACAGATTCTTCTCACCGAATCGCCCGAGTATAATAATATAATAATAGTATTATGTAGTTTACTATCTAAAACAATACTAATAACTTATGACTTGTAAGTATACGTCTAATATTATAATATTATAGAATAAAGATGGATATTATTTCTAAAAATGAAGCCTCCAAGAGCAAAACACACGAAACTTTTTTTTGAATTAGGTTCGAGACCATAAAAAAAATGTGTGATAATAGATTATTGAAAACATGTTGTATAGTTACAGCATTAAATCTCATTATATCAAATAGTTTTGAGTCTCCTAACTATAAATTGGCGCAAAGTGAAGGACATCATAGAATGCATGCAATACTATAGTCACGGTATGGTAAACGGTATACAAGCAAATATATCAAACGTGCGGTTTTCTAAATATTAATATCATATAATTAATTTTATACTACTTGTGGGTTCTTATACTACTATGGTGGTGGCGGCAACGGTGAATGCACTATATACACATATCCAAAAATATGTGTACCTATATTATAATGACAGATTTTCGTCATTATTACTCTTATTTGCGGGGTCTTTTTGGCGAAAAATCACTCGCTTTGCCCATTATGTTTTTGAAGAACGAGTTCGAAAACTCCAAAAACCGCTCCAATGAGTTTTTTTGCCCATTATTGCCGTCTTCGTCATCATTGCCCTCGCTTGCGACCTCTTCTGTATCTTTAAGCTTGGTGTTGTCCACTTTTTTTTTTCCAGTTTTATCACTACCGCCGTCAGCGCTCAAGTTCAAATGTTTTACGTAAGTCGACTGGATCCTGCAACCTCGTAACCACTTTCACTACTTTTCGAAGAACTTTCTCCATCTATCTCAACATTTTCTTCAACACGGTCACCGTTACCAGTAACGTTCCTTGTCCACACCCGGCAGGGTCGGTCTGTTGAGTTCAGTCCAGACCGACCATGATAGAAATAATCGTCTGGCTCATTTTGAGGAGATAAACTATTAAAGCGGAGTTGCTGGTATGCCGAGAAAGGGTGGTCGGTGGTATCGACGGCGCCCGCGACGTCGGTGTCTTCGTTGTCAGATATGGAATGGACACTGTCGGCATCTGGGACATTTCCACGGCCGGCCATCTATTAGACACAATACAATATACACGTTCGACAAGCATAATATTATAATATTAGTAAAGTCAATTGTGCGCAATAGTGGTCGGCTAATAGTATCTAGTAATTTGTGGGGGCCATAAAACAAACATGCGAACTAGAATAATAATAGTATCCCACCCCGACCACGCATGGTTGTGCATAATAATATTATTACGCTCGGTTCAGTTAAAAGGCACACAAAATAGATTTAAGACTCGTGTGAATTCAATTTAAGGGCAATATTAAGGCAATATTATGTAATCTCGTCGACGCCACCCGTGGCCTTTGTGTTGGTCGTAAATGATAATTAGTGTTATCAATACGGAAACCTCACACATTTCATTGGTTGCATAATATTATAATATAGTAATAGTAGCAAACTAGTAGGAATTTGTTTTTTTTTCTACATAAATGGTTGCCACATGTTACATAGTATTATAATATAACCGATCGGATGTAAAAATGTTAACTTATCATCTTGATATTTAGTCACTATATTTTTAACCCACTTTGCTTTATCCAAAGTCAATAGACACAACAACTACTCGACTGTTTTTAATTAAAGTTATATCAATAGATACCATGAGACTTTCAGAGAGTTTATATAATTTTTTTCAACAATAACAAAAATCCATGGTCACAATTTTTTTTATAAGCATTTTAAGTGCAAAAAATGTCTATAAGAAAGTCAAATAAAATTTTTATGAGAAATTCAAATTTTTAAAACATTTGATACTCACTCAATTTCTCATGTAGCGATTTTCTTATTTTGTTGTAATTCAAAAACGAATAACTATAGACCCATGGAAATTTCACTGAATATTTATCTTATAAATTCTTATACTTAAGGGGCCTGGTCGCGATTTTTCAAATTTTCCGCAATTCTATAAAATTTGAAAATTAAATTTTATATTTTAGTTGCCACCTCAACTTTAAGACTTTTCCACTAATCTACTACCCAATACCTATTTAGGGGGGGGGGTTGATAGGGTGTATTATATCGGTCAAAACACAGTTTACAGGAAAAACTCTCACCCCTCGTGGATTGGTCCGATTTTCGTAATTTTTTTTTTGTTAGATAGAGGAATATTTTTTACAGGGCGCATTGGACTTCGATTTTTGATTACGTCGCTAAAAACAAAAAATAATACAAAATCTAAAAAGTTGTAAAAATTGATTAAATTCAAACTTGTAACATAAGACTTAGAAAAATAATTTTGAAAATCCAAGTCCAATGCGCCCTGTAAGAAGTCTTCCTCTATCTAACAAAAAAAAAATTACAGAAATCGGACCAATCTACGAGGCGTGAGAGTTTTTCCTGTAAGGCATGTTTTTGAGCAAAAAAACAGGTCGCGTGCAGGCCCCTCCCTTAATAAAATTTTCAAAATATTTTGACTTGTTTTGAACTGTTTACCGACAATTACATATTTCAATTTTTTTTTTTTTTTATGAATATCAATAAAGTTTTATCTGTTGGGCAAAAAAGTGTAAACATTTTATACAAGGCTCCTGATATATTGTTATAATAGCATTTGAAAAATATTAAAAATACATAGACACAATTTTATTTATAAGCATTTAAAGATCGAATTTTGTCAATATTTATCAAATTTAAAATTGAATAATTATTTTGATGTTAAAAATTTATAAAATGTTCAACTTTTATATCTGAGGATTGAAAATTTAAAACAAGATTCCACGTAAATAGTTAAATCTGTTAACAAAAAATCTAAAAACACATAAGCACAGTTCATTTTTATAGTCATTTTAAGTTCAAATTCGGATGAAATTACATAATAAAAAACAATAGAATAACTATTTTAGTTGTTTTGTTGTGATTGTATAATATTATTCGGGAGTACTTGTAACTTCTAAAGTATACCATATATATCTATGATAGTTGATAACTATTGTTTTTTGTTGATGTATAAGGTATAACGCGTTATAAGTACCTAATAGATATTGTGATATGATTAATTTGGAATTTATAATAGGTACATTTTTCTTTAATACCACTGATAACTATATAATGGTATGTCTTATAACTAGACTGACATACCATCTCCGCTCAGAATTGTTTTTATTATACAATAATATTATATCATATTGAATTCAAATTTAATATAGCAGAGCGATATCCACTTACCCACCTTTTTACATATTATTCGTTGCTATGGTGATAAAAAAAAGCTTAAGAAATTAAAGTTTTTAACGTTTTTTCGTAATTTGTCGGTAGTTTACCACGTTTCTTTAAACAACTATTGAGAAAATCGAAAGTAGACCTTTCTAAAGTACCACCTTGATCAAATTTGCTAAAAGATACTATAAGATAGTTGAAATTGAAGCGCTAATCATGGTAGAGATTTTGTATACAGATAAAAAAAAATAAACACCATTGTAAAACCACTAGCTTTCTCTCTCCGCTCAGAATATAAAATACAAAACTTTGGCTCGGGCAATATCGGGAGGGACAGCTAGTAATTCATATCTTTATATATTTATTTTAACGTTATTATATTATGTGTAATAACTTTCATATTTTATAGATTCTACGAATAGAATATGTATTAAAAATGTGACAAGTGGGTACTACTCTGCTATATACAGTAGTTGTCGAGCATGTTGTTGTAATGGATGTGTTATATTTGAATTCAATGATAAATAATTGTATACGAAAAACGATCCTGACCGGAGACGTTGTGTCATACTTTTATAAATTATCAAATTTAATAGTTAACATTTTCTTTTTATAAAAATCTAAAATATCGCATAGCTATAAATAGCGTAAGTCCTAAGTTAACTTGTTCTTTAACATAAAGGTAGAAAATGTTGGAAACCTTGTATTAAAATGTCTTATGTTATCTATGAAAAGAAAAACTTGTATGAATTTTAATTTTAATGTTTATAACTAAAAATAATTTACAAAATTATAAGAAAATTACCATGGCTATAAATAGCTCAAAAAGAGTCAATATTGTTTGAACTTTTTACCATGTATGGAAAATACTTATTAAAATATTTGATGAACATTTCAAGAGTCTACGATTACTGGTTTTGGAAATACAAAAATATATCAAAAATCGATTAATTGGAATTCTATAATTTACCACTGAGTATCAAAAATGATAAGATCAAAACCTCTTAAAAAATTGATGTTTTGATTAAGTAAACTTTTTTTTGTTATAGGTAGAAAAACTTATGTGAAATCTTTTATTAAAATGTTTAATCTTAGCTATGAAAAAAAAACTTTTACGAATTTCTAATTGAAAAATAATTTACAAAATTTGAAAAAATTCTTATGGCTATAATTGTCTCAAAAAAAGTCAAAATTGTTTGAAAATATGGTCATTTTAATATTTTGTGAAAATTTCAAGTATATACGATTATTCGTTTTTAAACTACAACAAAATATCGATATATGATTAATACATCGTTTTATACGAATGCTAAGACATATTATGTAAGGAAGCATATTACATCGCTAAGGGGTCCAATTAAAATGCATTTACTTTCCTTTCAGTCATATTTTATGCTAATATAATATATTCATACAAGCTGACTCCGTGCACTTTGTTGCCCGTTAAAAATTCCAAATCTATATATTTTTAGAAATTAATTTTAAAAATCTTATTTACAATTTACAAAGCTCTTATTTCGTTAAAAATGAATTAACAAAACGAATCGAATAACCATGGGGAATAAATAATACTATTTACAAAAAAAATTATGTTTGCTAATTTAAATTTAACTATACATTTTTAATTAATTTTGAATTGTTTTTTTTTTATATCCAACCATCGTTAAATAAATACAAACAAAAGGTATGACAAACAAGGTGTTAAGGTTTAAAAAACAAAAATAATGATCTGTTTCTTGTTTTAATTAACTACGTATTTTAGTCTTTGCACAAACTTAAATTGAGTAATTCCACTCATTGCCTGTCGTTTGCAATGATCTTAATAATAATTAGGTATAGCATGAAATAATTATAGTCACTAAAGTTGTAATTTAAATTGTAATTATTCAACGACACTCGACAAGACCACCACGGGTAAACTCGATCATTATTAAGGTTATGCGTTAATTATTATTGTTCACTGTTGTTGTAGGTATCGGAAAATTGAAGATTTGACAACAATATATTCATGACAGTGTAACAATTATAAAGGTAGATTACATAATCATAATAATTAAATCCTATTCTATTGCGTTAATTACAAATCGTCAATGTTCAAACGATTTCCGTCTACAAATGGGATCTATAATAGGTACCTATATTAATTATTTAGTCCATCTCTAGGTTGTGTCACACCATTCGATATAGAATAAAAACAATCTATCTTGATACCAATATATGTGCATTATAATACATTATAAATACATCATACATATAAAATATATCCTAAACAAAGGCAATTTTTAAGGTATTTTTGAAAATTGTCTAAGAAATTAAAGTATGCGTTACTAAATGTATTTATTACCTGAGCATGGACAAATGAGACGCTATACCTATACTATGTTAGTATGTTACCTATATGATTATTTTTAAGTTTTGGATACTATGATTTATTGTTTTTGGCAGCAAATTACACAATGCTATATTATGCTATCTGAAATGCTTGAATATATTATGTTCAATATTATGTTCCCATGACTATTGACTCACGAGGTAATGTGGTGAGCTAGTCTATAGTGAAATATGTGATACAAAATACAAAATAAATATTATCTATAGCGTGACAAACCCATCGACAGACAAATGTCAACTGAACATTGAGCGCAACAAGTCCCAACATTAATTTAATAGCGCCCCTACAGCTCGCCGCACTGACAGATGTAATAGAAAACACGTACTTTAATTGTTATTTATACAATCCCTGTAATTATAAATTCATTGTTGGCTGTCTTAAACGAAATTTATTACACACTGTTTATAATAACCAATTGTTTTTTTTAATCGTTCATAATAATATCTATTTAGGTAT